GTGGGCCAGTCCACGGGATACCGCGCGCATCCAGCCGGGGCCTGGGCAGGAAGCTCGCGAGGCAGGTCAGGGGCCGGCCCCCATGCCAGTGCGTCCTGGGCAGACAAGTAAGCCGAGACAGGGCGGTGCGGGCACAGCGTGGAGCCCTCGTCGACGGTTGCCTGGTCCACCATGCGTGCCGACAAGTTGGAGGACGCCGCGACATAGGTCAAGCGTCGCGCCTGGCGCGCGCCGCCTGCAGCTGGCAGCGCCGGGACGAGCGGTGCAGCTGCAGTAGCACTAAGCCAGGGCCGCGCAATCAAACGGCAGCTTCGTCGTTCCAATCACCGCCGATCAGCCAATCATGGCCAGCGCTGTTCAAAGAGCAGAGGGCCTAAACCAAGGAGCACAGGTAGGCAGTGTTGACGGGCCCCATCTTGTCGCAGGCGCCCAGATAAGGGCTGCCCGCAACAAATCCACCAGGGACGCCCCAACGCACATGGGTGAGCAAGCATCTGCCTTTCACCGCGGCAGCGTCGTCTAGGTCGGGCGCCGCCAGCATGATACTGGTCCGCGCGAGAACCGCCGCGCCAGCAACCGTGCTGGCGTCGGACTTGTCGCTGGGCAACGCCGCCAACCAGTGGCCATGCCAGCCGAGATCACGAGCCTGCGATTGCGCGCCGGGCAGCCGATGCTCAAGAAAGTGATGTTCCTGGACCAAGACCACCTTAGCGTCGGTCGTTGGCGGGAACTCCCACAAACAGCCGTGGGGCGACACGTTGACCGAGGTCCCCCTTGAGCTGGACAATATCATGTTTCCTGAGGCCCCTCCGGGAACATTGCTCCAGAGGGGCACGCCAAGCGCCCGTCGATATACCCGGGCTTGCTTCGCGGACAGATGGCGTCGGGCCGGCCGAAGATGACGACCCAGCCGACGCAGCAGTGCCACCAAGATTGGCCATCATGGCTGCAACAACAATCATCAACAAAAGAAGGCAGTCGAAGCCAGAGACCTTACGAGGCAGCAGCACCAGCCTTCCTCTGGCGCTTGGCCAAGGACTGGAAAGGTCCAAGGAGACGTTGAGCAGTATTGCGGACCTCTTCCTCAGTGCCATCCGACTCCTGCCCCGTGGACTGCACGAAATCCTTGACATCAGCCAGGTCGATGTCGTCCATGTCGACATCAGGCACGGCTTGGCCAGCAGCAGCCGCCAGCCGAGCGCCAGCAGACCCAGGAAGCACCGCAGCATCAGGTGCAGCAGCTGCCGGAGGCGGGGCAGGCTCGGCCAGCACAGCCTGTTGCACCTGGGCGAGCCATGGCCTGACATGCTGAACACAAGAGGCAGCCAGCTGCTCGCCAGCGCCCAGCTGGGCAATGACAGTCTGCAGCTGCTCCAGGTTGGCATTGAAGGCCATGACCACGACCTCGAGGCTTTGGCTTGGGCTGCCAGCAGCGGGCGGAGGCACCGTGCTCTTGAGCATCTCCACGTACTCGAGATGAAGCGCCTCGCGAGCAGCAGTCTTCTCGCGCAGCTGCTGACGCTGCTCCTCGAGAAGGCTCTGCTGCTTGGTAGTCTCAGCCTCGGTCTCCACGATGGTAGCTTGCAGCTTGGAGATCTGGCCGTCCATGCGCTGGATACGATTGGCCATGCCATGCACCTGAGTGGCGAGAGGCTTGGCGGTATGTATCTCAGCGCGCAACTCCTTAGACCGCTGCTCGTACTTGGCGTAGCCCTCGATTTGCTCCGGCTTCTGCCCCGAAGCCTTGGCAGCAGTCTGCATCGAGGCACAGATGCCCTCGACGGCCTCCACCTCCTTCTGCTTCGCATCAGGCGTGGAGGAGGCAGCAAGGTCATCACCAGCAGCACCATCAGCAACGCCAGCACGATCAGGAGGGGCCCGAGACTGGTCTACCTTGGCCGCCAGATGGAGCTGCTGCACCTGCTTCCGTGGGGCCGCCAACTCCTTCTCCTTCGCACCAGAAGCATCCGCAGGTGGCGGCTTCTTCTGGTTCTGGCTGGGGCTGTCACGCATGACGTGCCGCAAGTAGCACTGGCCCTTGGCCATTCCACACATGGAGCATGCTGATGCGTCGGCGTGGTTGAACCAAGGCTGGCCGTTCTTCGGGTTGACGCAGGAGCGACAGAAAACCACTTGTTAGCCCGCTCCCGACGGCGCTGTGCACCCCGACCCGCCATGGCGCCCACGGATGAGCCCCGAGCACGAGCAGGAATGTGAATATCGTCGTCTGTGTAGTGGAAGATCTGCGGCGACTGCCGCTTGCAAATTACAAGGTTGGCTCGTGCCCCCGAGCCGCTTCGAAGTACGTGGGCACAAGCTCGAGCTTTCACACAATTAGCTCGAGCCAAAACGGCTGGAGGAGGAGGGGGAGGAGGAGGAGGAGGAGGAGGAGGAGCTCCTCCAGGAGCAGCGTCAGGAGGAGAAGGAGGCAGCGTCAGGGATGGGAGCTTCTCCAGGAGCTCCCATCCCTCACGCTGCCCCTGAAGGAGGCCCAGGAGCTCCATTTGGACGCCCGAGACGACACAAACTGGCTACGACGCCCAGCAGCAAGTGCAGTCCAAGAGCGACGGCGGGCGCTGCTGGGCAGGCTGGCTCGTGTCTCGAAGAGACCAACGACCGCGGCGACGCCGACCAATCCTGTACAGCATTAGCATTAAGTTGGGCGTGTCCCCCGACAGGCGAATTTTTGACGAAAAATAGAAAATACGCCAAACATATGCCAAGATGATCACAAATACTCAAAAAATAGTCCCCTGACTATTTTTGGACTATTTTTGAATATTCCCCCTGTAGAGGGACACGCCCGACTTAACATTAGCAAGATTTCACAGCTGCCGGACCGTGTGCCCAATGCTTCCGTACCCATGTCGGTCCCCCCGTCGCTCGGACGTCCATTCCCTGTGCATTTCTGTCGGTTTCGCGCGTGCTTGTTGTTCGCCAAATGTGGTGAAACCAAGACGTACCGATACCGCTACTCCCCGGCCCTCTCCTGGGGTGCATTGTGACCAGGAAATCGAAGCGAATCCAGCGGCGGCGACGAGGGCGTCCCAGGAGGCCCAAAAAGGGGAAAACGAGGCGAGGGTAATGGTATGGGTATACCTCTTCCTCCTCAGGCGGTGATCCAGGATGTGCTTCGATGGTCCTCGCCGAGCAAAACGCGCACCCGCCCGAGCGATGCCAAGACCCAGACACCCGACGTCATGATGTTTTCATGACGTCGACCCCCAGCAGTCTGGACCCATTCCCCGGGACCGGTTTTTCGTCCCGAGTCGTTTTTTGACGGCCCCGAGGGCCGGTAAGGGCCCCCAGAGGCCCAAAATAACGAAAAACCTCACGGCGTGAATTTTGCATAACTCGAGGGGGTCTGGGGACCCACGACAGGCCGCCCCCCCCCTCCCGAGGCTATCGCGGGGCGCGCGGGCGCGCCGTCGTGCCCGCCGCCGCCGCCGGGCTGCCGCAGGGCCTCCCGCAGGCCCTCGGCCGCCCGGCGCCAGCGCCCCTCCTGTAGGGGCGCAGGGCACGGGGAGACGCCCGCCGCGCACCAAGGCGAGTAGGCGCGAGCGAGGCATCGGGGATGGACAGACCTCCCTTTAGCAAAACGTGGTTTAGTGAACACGACCTCGGGCCCAAACCTGGCGGGCGCAAGCCTGGAACATAACGGCCGCGGCGCCCTCTCGAGAACCGAAAAAGGACAATTCACTGATCGACGTGTCAGGGTAGGTCTGTCAACCCCCGAAGGCACAGGGACCCAGACATCCAGCGTATACTGAAAAAATCAGGACGGAGGATTTTTGGGACTTTTGGCCTCTGGGGGCCCTCGCCCGGCCCTGGGACCGTCCAAACACGACTCGGGATGAAAAACCGGTCCTGGGGAATGGGTCGAGACTTCCGGGGACCCCGTCTTGAAAAAAACATGACCTCGGATCTCTGGGGAGGGGGCTCCCCGGTGGTGTGGCTCCCTCCCCCCCCTCTCGCTCGAGACGTCCCCGGCCCCCAGCCCGGGGAGGCAGCGTGGGCGTCCTCGCTGGAGGTGGGCCCCCTGATGGTGCTGGTACCGCTTCTCCTTTGGCGGCGTGCAGAGGGTGGCAGGGGGAGGGGGGAAGGCGAAAGGAGGCTGCTTCTTAGAAGGCGCAGGCCTTATACATCTACAGACAAGGGCCGCGCCTTCTAAGGCACAGGGGTGCTTCTAAGAAACCTTCCCCCCTCCCCCTACCCCCATCGTGCTTGAGGACCACATCCCAGAAATAATTTCGAGCACCCAGAAAAGCATCGAGACGGTGTCGAACGAGTATTTCGCCTCCCAGGGCCCGACACGTGAAAACCCTCCGGCTTCGGTACTTCCTTGGTGCACCAAACTCTTCCTGGTGATCTAGGCTAAACTGAAGTAGGCGGGAACATCATAACCTCAGGACGGGCATGTCCTCCTACAGGCGGATTTTGGAGGAAGCATGCAAATAGCCAAACACGTGCACAACAAAAAAAGAACATGCCCAAGAACACCCCCCAAAAGCGTCCTCGGACTCTGGCGGAATACTCCTCCTGCAGAGGGCCAGGAGCCTGTTTTTTTAGACTCTGGCAAGTTTACTTGCATGGACGGGGGGGGGGGGCTGAGTCTGAAGCAAGCCGAAAACAATTTCACGTGCGGAAATCACGCAAGTCGAAAGGCACTTGCACGCTCGTGTTCGATTGAAGAGGGGCGAGGGGGGGGGGGCCAACGCCATGCAAATAAACTTGCCTGAGTCCAAAAAAAAACAAGCTCCAGGCCCGACCCGGTCAGCACCCCCCGACCTCGTCCGCAGCCCCGCCGCGGCCTGGGGAGCTCCCGCGGTGGCACGGCCCGCCGCGCGGGCCGGGCGGCGCGCGCGCCGGTGGCCCGGCCGCGGGCGGCCCGGCCGCGGGCGGCCCGGCCGCGGGCGGCCCGGCCGCGGGGCGGCCCGGCCGCGGGCGGCGGCCACGCCCACGCCGCGTCGGGCGGCGGGCTCCGCCAGGCTCCGCGGGGCCCCGCGGGGGCGGGGCGCACCGCGCCGGCGCCGCGGCGCGGGGCCCCGGCGGAGCCGCGGGGTCCGGCGGAGCGGCGGGGCCGCAGGGCGCGGGCCCCCAGCGGCTCCCGGCCGCGAGGGGGGCTCCCTGGTCGGGCGGGTGGCGCGGGGGGGGGTGACCTAGAACCAGCCGCGAAAATTCATCCTGATTCCTATAAGATGGGCGGGCAAAACACGATGACAATCTTAGGGATGTGCCTTCAGAAACTGCGGGAATCCTTAAGATGTCGGCATCGAGGTGAGGTGATGCCAGACACAGGCATAGGGATGTGTTTCAAACTGGTAAACCTAACAGTGGGGGGGGTGGAAAAAGAGGCCCTGAAGGGTGCCCGTTTATAGGACCCCTCTTGGGCACCAGCTGGCTCCAAAAGATGCCCCAGAGGGTCCCTGAGGGGCCCTTTTCTCCACCCCCCATGTGCAGTCGGACTTGATTGGCGAGGACACGCGAGAGGATACAAGACCCTTCCGAAGGCCACATCGCCACAGGACAGCAAGAAGGCACGCGTCGCGAGGCACAGGACACAAGGGTACCCTTGTTTGACGCTTCCTCCTGTTAGAGGGACAGGCCCGACTTCACGCCAGCAGGGCCGAAGGCGTGTCGCCGCAGGGGAGAGAGACCGCGGGAGCTGGAGAGCCTCATGCGCGAGCCCTGGCCGGGCAGCCGCAGCGCTCGGGGCTCACGGGGCCCGGCGCCTGCAGGTCACCCCCCATTGCCACCCGCCCGACCTGGCCAGCAGGGCGCTCCGTGCCGACGGCGGCCTCCAGCAGGGTCGGCACCTGTGGGCTGCACGCGGGGGTGGCCCTCTGGGCGGGAGGGCCCTCTGCGGCGCAGCTCCCAGGGGGCCGCGGCGTGGCGAAGTTCGAGCGCGCAGTCCAAACGGAGGAGGAGGAGGAGGAGGAGGAGGAGGAGGAGGAGGAGGAGGAGGAGGATGAGGCGGGAGAGGAGGAGGAGGAGGAGGAGGAGGAGGAGGAGGAGAAGGAGGAGGGGGAGGGGAGAAAAAAGAAGGAGAGGAGGAGGAGGAGGAGGAGGAGGAGGAGGAGGGGGAGGGGGAAGGGGGAGGAGGAGGAGGAGGAGGAGGAGGAGGAGGAGGAGAGGAGGAGGAGAGGAGGAGGAGAGCGAGCAGGAGGAGGAGGAGGAGGAGGAGGAAGGCGGAGGAGGAGGAGGAGGAGGAGGAGAAGGAGGAGGAGGAGGGGAGGAGGAGGAGGAGGAGGAGAGGAGGCGGAGGAGGAGGAGGAGGAGAGATGAGGAGGAGGAGGAGGAGGGAGGAGGAGGGGAGGAGAGAGGAGGAAGGGGAGCGGGAGGAGGAGGAGGAGGAGGAGGAGGAGGAGGAGGAGGAGTAGGAGGAGGAGGAGGAGGAGGAGGGGAGGAGGGGGAGGAGGAGGGGAGATGAGGAGAGGGGCGAGGGGAGGAGGAGGAGGAGGAGGAGGAGGAGGAGGAGGAGGAGGAGGAGGCGGAGGCGGAGGAGGAGGAGGGGGAGGAGGAGGGGGAGGGGGGGAAGGATGGGAGGAGGGGAGGGGAGGAGGAGGAGGAGAGGAGGAGGAGGAGGAGGGAGGAGGAGGAGGAGGAGGACGAGGAGGAGGAGGAGAGGAGGAGGAGGGAGGAGTAAGAGGAGGAGGAGGAGGGAGGAGGAGGAGGAGGGGGAGGAGGAGGAGGAGGAGGAGGAGGAGGAGGAGGAGGAGGAGGAGGAGAACGGGGAGGAGGAGCCCTGTGGGCACGCACCAAGACAGGTTCCGGCGACGGGCCGCTGTTGCGCACAACCAAAAACCTGTGGCGCTCTGGTGGCGCCGGCCAGAGCCTCCAGCCTCGACCACTCCTCGTAGCCCCGGGGGCAGTCGCCGCCCCTGGCGTGCTGCACGAGGCCCTCCACCTGGCGGTAGAGCTTGTCGCTCTGGCAGAAGGCGCACAGCATGTAGGAGACGCCCTCCATCGAGTCCTCCACGGGGACGCACTGCAGACGAGGCAGGGGCCCGCCGCAAGGCCACAGGCTCCGCGGCACGGCCACCGTCCGCGGCTTCCGCAAGTGCATGTGCGGCCGGAGCCTGCGAAAGATCCTCGGTAAGGCGCCCCGCGTCACGCCGACCGGTCCAGTCCTCGCCTCCGCCTTCCCCCCTCCCTCCCACGCACTGCGGCCAGGGAGGGACATGGAGGGGAGGGGGGGGGTGACTTGGACTGGTGCTCGCCAAGAGGGCCCCCCAATCCTCACCCCTCGCCCACGGCCCGCGCGGCCGCGGCCACGGCCCCGGCCCTGCTGAGGGGTCGCAGCAGTGCGCGTCTCCAGAGGGCTGGCGGCATCCGAAACAAGCCCGCCTCCCTGTGCTCCCGGCACGGTGGCCCCAGCCTCCGGTCCGTCGCTCAAGGAGTTGGGCGCCGACGCCGTGTGCGAATTCTCCGAATTAGCCGACGGGTTCACGAGCGTGCTGTCAAGCTGGCTCGCAAGCGATGCATAGTGGGCATCTTGCCATACCCCCGCGGTGCGATCGTGCCGAGCACCCTGCGAATTCTCAAGAGCGGGCTGTGGAGCCTCAGTCTGCCAGAGCCGCCTCCCACGTCCAGCGTGCCACGAGTCCCCGGTGTCGTCGGCGGCCCCAGAGGTGGAGTCTTCCAAGCCAGAGGGAGTCCGTCGCGGCGCGCTCTCGGACTCTGCCTCGCCGTGGCGAACCGAAGCCTGGGGCATGGCAGCCCCGAAGATGCTGGAGGGTCCCACGCATGTCTGCTCCTCGGGGATCCCGGGCAGCGTCTCGGCCTCGGACTGGCTGTGGTGCTCGGCGGCGTCGCCCACGGCAAGGGTGCCGGCGGGCCGCTGCTGGCAGCGGGCGCTCAGGGCATCAGCGGGGCAGACCTGGCGCACGGAGCCCTCGAACATCACGGCGCGTGCGCCTGCCTTCTGCTGGTGCTGCAGGTCTAGCGCCCCACTGAGACAAGAAGCTGGCGGTGGTGGTGCTGGCAACGACGGTGCCAAGCGCATGGCAGACGCATGGGGATAGAGGCATCCATTCACGGGCATGGCGGTTGCGAGGGGCCCACAACATCCCTTGACCCATCGGGGACTTGCTTGATCACGTTTCCCTGGGGGAGTTCACGTGCATCAGTACCTAATGATAGCGAGCCAAAGTATGAGCGACGTCATCAGCCTGAAAATATGAGCAAGGTTTCCCAGGTGGCCCCCTCTCGGAAGCAAAGGGTTGCAGGGGGGCGGCGAACCCCCATCCCTTCCAATTGGGAGAGGGGGGGGTCCGAAAACAGACCCCCTGTGAAAGGCGGGGGGGGGTCGTGCGAGCAGACCCCCTCTTTACAATTAGACGGGGGTTCATTGGTGCTCTTTTCGCGACAGCCTTCGGGGACTCCCCACAGCGGAGACCGCTCACGACTGAACAGCTCGCGCGCGAGCAAAAACTGGAGTCGGTCTCCCAAACTGGTCTCTCGCCCGAACCAATTCCATTGCCTGGAGCACGTCCCGCCAAAATAATATTACACCCGAGAAAAAAAAAAACCATGCACCCCCCCCTCCCTGCAGAGCACCCCCCCCTGCAGAGCGGACCTCCTCCCCTGGCAAGCCCCCCCCCCCCCCCCCCCCCCCTGCAGAGCGGATCCCCCCCCTCCTCCCCTGCTCCCCCCCCCCCTCTGCAGAGCAGACCCGCCCTCATGCAGCCTCCCCTCCTCCCAGAGCGGACCCCCCCCCTGCACAGCGGACCGTTGTCGCTCGCGTCATCGTCGTCCTCGTCGTCGTCGTCGTCGCTCGCGTACCCTGCAGAGCGGACCCCGCCCCTGCAGCACCCCCCACTGCAGAGCGGACCCCCCCCCTGCACCACTCCCCCCTGCAGAGCACCCCCCCCTCCACTGCAGAGCGACCCCCCACCCCCCTGCACCACCACCCCTGCAGAAGACACCCCCCCCCCCTGCAAGAGCGGACCTCTTGCCTCCCTCCCTGCAGACCCCCCCCCTGCAGAGCAGACCCCCCCTCCTCCCCTGCACCCCTCCCCCTCTGCCAGAGCAGACCCCCCCTCCTGCAGCCCATCCTCTCATCCCAGAGCGGACCCCCCCAACCCTGCAAGGCGAGACCGCCCCCCCCCCCCCCCCCCCCTCCCTGCAGCCAGCACCCTCCCCCCGCTTTGCAGAGCGGGGACCCCGCCCCGCGCAGCCCCCCCCCCCCCCTGCAGCGCGGACCCCCCCCCCTCCCCTGCACCCCCCCCCACTGCAGAGCAGACTTCCCCTCCTGCAGCCCCCCCCCCCTTCAGAGCGGACCACCCCTCTCCCTTGCAGTCCCTCCCTCTGCCGAGCGGACCCCCCCTGCAGAGCAGACCCCTTCCCTGCCAACCCAGCTCCCCAGACCCCCCCGCGTTCGGTCGTCCCGCGGCGCGTCGTTGTCGTCGCGTTCGTCGTCGTCGTCCGTCGTCGTCGTCGTCGTCGTCGTCGTCGTCGTCGTCGTCGTTAGTCGTCGTCGTCGTCGTCGTCGTCCTCGCGTCGTCGTCGCCCGCGTCATCGTCGTCCCGCGTCGTCGTCGCTTCCCCCCCCCTGCAGAGCGGACCCCCGCCCTTCAGCCCCCCCGCCCCACTGCAGAGCGGACCCCCTCCCTCCCCTGCACCACTCCCCCCTGCAGGGCCCCCCCCCCTGCAGAGCGGACCTCCCCCCTGCCCCCACCCCTGCAGAGCGGACCTCACCCTTGCAGCGTCGTTGTCGTCGCGTCGTCGTCGTCCTCGTCGTCGTCGATCGCGTCATCGTCGTCCTCGTCGTCGTCGATCACCATCATGAGCATCGTCATCACCATCGTCGCCGTCATCGTCACCCTCTTCATAACCATCGTCGTCGTCATCGTCTTCGCCATCATCATCTTCATCATCATCCTGATCATCATCTTGCGGAGCGCCCCGGATCGGCGGCACTGGCCGGAGGCCACTACAATAATATTACACCCGAGAAAAACCCCAATCCGTGGATGGTTTGAGAATCAGTGATATGGATATTGGAGAGGGCGCGTTTCACGGGCGCTCGCCTTGGGAACATTCGGCGACGGCGCGTTTCGAACTGGGGGGTGGGCCCCTCCCGAACACCTGGCGCCGTCGATCAGAACCAGGGGGACTCCCCTCCCCCCTAAACACCACCCCTCCCGAAACACACACACACACACACCCTCCCAAGGGGCGGGGGGGGGTCCAAAACCCCCCCCTTCCGCGCCGGCGCCGGCGCCCGCGCTGGCGGCCGCCAGCAGCGCCGACGGCGGGGACGCAGCGACGATGACCAGAGAGGGCCTAGGGGGAAAGGGGGGGGGGTCCGGGGGGGGGTCCAACCCCCCTCCCCGCCGGCGCCGGAGCCGGCGCTGGCGGCGGCCAGCAGCGCCGACGGCGGAGACGCAGAGACGATTACCAGAGAGAACCCAGAGGCCGCAGAGGGAACACGCAATGAGGAAGGTCCACGAGGCTTCACACATGCTCCTCAAACGCTCCCGAGACCCTTCTGACGAGACCTCAGGAGGCATCATCCATCATAACTCTGACCCAAAGCCAAAACACGGTGGCGGGCAGAGCCAACGGACACACGACCACCACCAGAAACCACCACACCACCACCACCACCGCCACCACCACCACCACAACCACCACCACAACCACCACCACAACCACCACCATCACCACAAACCACACCACCACCACCACCACCAGAAATGCCACCACCAACAGCACCACCACAACCACCACCACGAACCACAACATCATTTCCACCAGTATCACCACCACCGCCACAACCACAACCATCACCACAACCGACCACCACCAACACCACAAACCTCACCACCACCACCACCACCGCCACCGTCACCCACCCCCCACCCACCACCACCACCACCAGCGCCGCTATCAGCAGCACCACCACCACAAACAACCACGCCGCCACCACCACAAACGCCATCACCACTACCACCACGACCCACCATCACCACCACCAACCCACCACTATCACCACCAACCCACCATGCCACCACTAATCCACCACCCACCACCCACCACCCACCACAGCCACCACCACCACCACCACCACCACAACCACCACCACCCACCGCCACAACAATCCATCACCACCACAACCACCACTTCCGCCACCACCACCACCACCGCCTTCAACCATCACCACCCCCACAATCCACCAACACCACCAGAAACCACCGCACCACCACCACCACCACAACCTGCCACCACAACCACCACAACAACCACCACCACCACCAACAACAACCACACCACCACCACCACCACCGCCGCCACAACCACCACCACCACCACAGCCCACCACCACCACCACCACCACCACCACCTCAGAGAGGCCCCAAGGAAGGCTGCACAAATGCCCTTCAGGAGGCCCCCGAGAGCCCTCCGACGAGACCCCAAGAGGAATCCATTAGGACTCTAACCCAAAACCAAGGCGCGGTGGCGGAGCGGCGTTGTCGTCGTCATCGTCGTCGCCGTCGTCCTCGTCGACGCTCTCCGCCGCCTCGCGGCCGCAGGCGCCGGCGCTGGCCCAGACAAGAAAGTCGTCCTCCCCGCCGCCGCCGCCAGCCGCCGCCGGCGCAGGCACCGGCCCGAGGAGAGGGAGAGAGGAGAAGTAGGAGAGGAAGGAGGAAGGGCGGGGGGGTGGAGCTCCCCCCATGCCGTCCACGGGGGGGGGGGGGAGCCGTCCGGTTTCAACCCCCCCCCTGCAATGTGACCACAGAACCGCGCTCTTTGGATATTGAGAGACAGCGCTGATCCACCGCCGCGCTTTTAACCCGTGAAAATTTGCAACCTTTTTCTCCAGAGAGCCCCGGGGGAGTCGCCCCCCCCCCCCCCCCCCCCTCCTCCCCCCCTCCGAAAATACTCCCCCCCCTGCTGGAACCCCTCCCCCGCCCCCCCCCCCTCCCCCCCCCCCCCCCTCCCCCGGCAAAAAACCCCCCACCTCCACCTAACCCTCCCCCACCCTCTCCCCCCCCCCCCTCCCGCTCGAAAAACGGGGGGGGGTCACTACGGTTCGAACCATCCCCCCCCACCCCCCCCCGGTTCGGCGGAAAACTGGAGGGGGCCACTACCGGTTCGCACCCCCCCTTCCCCTTTCCCCCCCCCCCCTACCGCCAGCAAACGACTCCCGGTCCCCACCACCGTCCGCATCACATCCCCCACTGGTGTTCCCAGCACCACTGTCCTCACCACCGCTGTCCCCACTGGTTCCACCACCGCCCCTACTGTCCCCACCAGTGGCCCCACCACTGTCGCACTGTCCCCGCTGTCCCCAGAACTGTTCCCACCACGGTTCCACTCTCCCCACTGTCTCCACGGCCCCAACCACTGCCCGACTATCCCCACTGTCCCCACTGTCCCACTGACTCCTCCGCTGTCCCACTGAGCTGTCCCACTGTTCCCACCACTGTCCCCACTGTCCCCACCATTGTCCCCACTGTACCTCTGTCCCATTGTCCCACCGCCGTCCTCGCCACCGCCTTCACCACTGTCCCCACCACCATTGTACTCCGGATCCCTTAATAATCGTCCCCCGGGTCCGGTTTATTAAGGCGCATTTTGGGGAAGCAGGGGGGTCCGGTTTATTAAGGCGTTTCTTGAAGCCGACGTTCAGGGGGGGTCCGGTTTATTAGGGCGCCTTTTGGGTACTAGCCCGCGGAGTACTAACCATCATCATCATCATCAGCATCATCATCACCGTCGTCATCGTCATCGTCATCGTCATCATCAGGTTCATCATCACCAACATCATCATCAGCATCATCATCATGATCATCATCATCAACAACATTTTCAACATCATCGTCATCATCCTCATCATCGTCGTTATCACCATCATCACGATATGATGCGGCGGTGGCAATGAAGGTACTTCTGATGGCGATGACGACTATCGTTGTCGTTGTCGTCGTCGTCGTCGTTGTCGTTGTCGTCGTCGTCGTCGTCGTCGTCGTCGTCATAGTCGTAGTTCTCGTATCGTCGTCGTCGTCGTCGTGGCGCTCGCAATTTTGCTGGGGGGGGTCCGGAATATTAAGGCGCCCTCTGCGGGAGGGGGTCCGGAAAATTATGTCGCGAAGGAAGGGGGGGTCCGGTTTTTTAGGGGGGGGTCGA